TAATCTTTATGGCTGGTATCTTATTTATGTGTTTACTTGACCCTTAACCTGTTAACTGGCAAGTTGTGAACATGTATAGCCTGTTTTGAAAAATATCCGTGTCAAACAGTCAAAAGAGGAGGGGATGGTCATTTTCAGCATCTCATGACCCCTCTCATGATCTGCGCTACCGTTAGCGTCAAATGAGCCTTGATTTTATATCGTCATTCGTAAAATCTAATTTCGTAGCCACGTTAGGGTCAAATGAAGTTAAATATTTATCGTTAGCGGTCTATAATGCTAGTAAAACAGGTTGGGAACAAACCCTCTATATGGTGTTTATACCTGTATAGAGGAATAATCCTTCTATAGTAGTATAGAGGGATAAAAGGGGTATTTTTGTTTAGACTGGATTTAAAGCAAAATAGGGCAGAATGGCATTTTCTAGTTATATTTGCTATAATCTATAGCACTATATATGCATCAATTATTGCACTTTACTGTATTCTGTATTTCTTTACTAAAAAATGGCCTGGGATGCCCAGTTTTCTGCTAAAGTGACAGAACATGCAATCTATTGTATACCTATCTGAACACCTGATCAACAACAAAAGGGACATGCAGTTGACCTTTAAATTTTATGTTAAATCTAACAAAAGAAATTCTGTTCACTGAGGCATAACTGAGTGGAATTTACCTGATCATCACAGCTTTCAATTATGGTGTACAATAGATTGTATATTCAGTCAGTTTAGCAGTAAACTGGGCATGTGAAATGAAATTTAGAATATAGCAAAGTACTCTTGACCAATGAAATTGTAGAATTGGATGCCTCTTAATTGTGAAGAATGAATGTAAATCATGTTCTTAGTAAGGGATTATCTTATTATTTGGGTCTATTTACAGTTCAAAACAAAGAGTTTCTATAAATGAGTTACAACTGCCCCGAAGCACATTTATCAGATTGAAAGGATTTATCACACAGTGATTGAAACTGACTAAAAGTTGAATTGTGAAACAAACAAAAATCTCAAAATAAGTTGAAGTTTACTGGTGCAGTAAAATTGGTACCGTGAATCGAATTTTATTATGAAAATATTAATAACTTCAAATTACTATAAAATTAAACAATACCAAAGCAATGCAAAAAAAAGATAAAAAAATTCTTTCAGATAAAAAAAACCTAAATCTTATTGGCTGTGAAATAAAATTTAGTTGTAACTCAAATGTATTAATTGATTTTAACTGTAAATAAAAAATGATAATTCCTCACTAAAATATTACATGATTTACGTTCATACTCACAATCAGGAAACATACAATTCCTACCTTTTCTTTCTACTGTTGTGTCACCTAATATCTATAACGCATTTTTTTTAAAAAATATTTCCCAAATGATAAGAAAGTCCTCACATCACTAAAACTTATCCATAAATGACATGCCGAAAAAGGAAGTCATGCATCAATTATAAACTTTGCACTGACAATGAAACTAATTCTTGAATAGATCATTTGAGCATTGAGCACTTTACAATATTCTAAGTTTGTAAGAGAATGATAATCCCTTACTTCATGATAAGTACTTGCTAACGCTCGTACTTATTCATGAAGAAAGGGATTATCATTCTCTTACATATACTAAGTAAAATTGAGAATGGAAATGGGGAATGTGTCAAAGAGACAACAACCCGACCATAGTACAGACAACAGCAGAAGGTCACCAACAGGTCTTCAATGCAGCGATAAATTCCCGCACCCGGAGGCGTCCTTCAGCTGGCCCCTAAACAAATATATATACTAGTTCAGTGGTAATGAACGCCATACTAAACTCCAAATTGTACACAAGAAACTAAAATTAAAAATAATACAAGACTAACAAAGGCTAGACGCTCCTGACTTGGGACAGGCGCAAAAATGCGGCGGGGTTAAACATGTTTATGAGATCTCAACCCTCCCCCTATACCTCTAGCCAATGTAGAAAAGTAAACGCATAACAATACGCACATTAAAATTCAGTTCAAGAGAAGTCCGAGTCTGATGTCAGAAGATGTAACCAAAGAAAATAAACAAAATGACAATAATACATAAATAACAACAGACTACTAGCAGTTAACTGACATGCCAGCTCCAGACTTCAATTAAACTGATTGAAAGATTATGTCTTCATCATATGAATATCAGGCACAATCCTTCCCGTTAGGGGTTTAGTATCATACCATCATAACATATATGAGAAGAACATAACCCGTGTCATGCCAACAACTGGTTTTTATACGACCGCAAAAAAATTTTGTGGTCGTATATTGGTATGACGTTGGCGTCGTCGTCGTCGTCGTCCAGCGTCGTCGTCCGAATACATATTGGTTTTCGCACTCTAACTTTAGTTTAAGTGAATGGATCTTTTTGAAATTTGACCATAAGGTTAAATACCACAAAAGAAAGGTTGGGATTGATTTTGGGGGTTATGGTACCAACAGTTAAGGAATTAGGGGCCAAAAAGGGGCCAAAAATGAGCATTTTCTAGTTTCCAGACAATAACTGTGGAACGGTGTATGGATCTCTCTGAAATTATACTACAAGTTTCCATACCTCAAAGGGATGGTTAGGATTTGCTTTGGGGGGTTATGGCTCAAACCGTTTAGGAATAAGGGGCAAAAAAGGGGGAAAAACAAGGTTGTCCTGGTTAATGGACAAATACTTTAGTACAAAACATAATTTAAAGCAGTGTAAGGGAGATAAATCAAATACATCATTGAAATTATCTCCCTTACACTGCTTTTAAATTATGTATAAAGTAATGGTTAATGAACAATAAAGATAATCTAAAACAGTTTAAGGGAGGTAATCCAAATACAACGTTTTGGTTACTTCCCTTACACTGCTTTTAAATTATGTTTAAAGAAATGCATATTTATAAAGGAAGACCAGTAAAAATATCTGCAAATGTTTTCATCTTTTTTTTTTACAAAAAAATCCATATGAAAGATTTGACACTATATTTTTATTAATTCTATTATAAAAAAGATTAAGTTAGCACTATGGTAAATTTAAATGGGTAATTATGGTTGCCAACTCCATTGGAAATTTGAATTGAGATTATGACCATATCTTGAGGGAAAGAATTTTTTTGGGGGAAAAAGGGGGGGGAATAAAAAGAAATTGTGGGGGGCCAATTTTTTCTCATTTCAGATTTCAGAAATTAAAAAGAATTATTCTTCAAATATTATTTTTTTTTTTCAAATTTCAAATATTGAAAAATTTCAAGAAGTAATCTTTAATTGCACAGTATGGCGCATTAGATTTGTAAAATCTTTGATCACATTTATTTATTTGTTATGCCGAATCTAACAGTATATTTAGATTTTTAATTTTGGGTCCAGTTTTCAAATTGGTCTACATTAATGTCCAAAGGGTCCAAAATTAAACTTTGTTTGATTTTAGCAAAAATTGAATATATGAGGTTCTTTGATATGCTGAATCTAAACATGTATTTAGATTTTTGATTTTTGGCCCAGTTTTCAAGTTGGTCCAAATTGGGGTCCAAAATTAAACTTTGTTTGATTTCAACAAAAATTGAATATATGGGGTTCTTTGATATGCTGAATCTAACCATGTATTTAGATTTTTTATTTGTGGACCCCGTTATCTAATTGGTTCATATTGAGGTCAAAAGGGTCCAAAATTAAACTTTGTTTGATTTCATCTAAAATTGAATTATTGGGGTTCTTTGATATTCCAAATCTAACCGTGTATTTAGGTTTTTAATTTTGGGTCCTGTTTTTTAAATTGGTCTACATTGAGGTCCAAAGGGTCCAAAATTAAACTTAGTTTGATTTTAACAAAAATTGAATTCTTGGGGTTCTTTGATTTGCTGAATCTAAACATGTGTTTAGATTTTTGATTATGGGCCCAGTTTTCAAGTTGGTCCAAGATAGGGTCCAGTATTTAAACTTTGTTTGATTTCAACAAAAATTGAATATATGGGGTTCTTTGATATGTTGAATCTAAACATGTATTTAGATTTTTGATTATGGGCCCAGTTTTCAAGTTGGTCCAAATTGGGGTCCAAAATTAAACTTTGTTTGATTTCAACAAAAATTGAATATATGAGGTTCTTTGATATGCTGAATCTAACCATGTATTTAGATTTTTTATTTGAAGGCCCCGCTATCAAATTGGTTCATATTGAGGTCAAAAGGGTCCAAAATTAAACTTTGTTTGATTTCATCGAAAATTGAATTATTGGGGTTCTTTGATATGCCAAATCTAACCGTGTTTTTAGATTTTTAATTTGGGTCCCGTTTTTAAATTGGTCTTCATTGAGGTCCAAAGGGTCCAAAATTAAACTTAGTTTGATTTTAACAAAAATTGAATTCTTGGGGTTCTTTGATATGCTGAATCTAAACATGTGTTTAGATTTTTGATTATGGGCCCAGTTTTCAAGTTGGTCCAAGTTGGGGTCCAAAATTAAACTTTTTTTGATTTCAACAAAAATTGAATATATGGGGTTCTTTGATATGCTGAATCTAACCATGCATTTAGAATTTTTATTTGTGGGCCCCCCTATCAAATTTTTTCATATTGAGGTCAAAAGGGTCCAAAATTAAACTTTGTTTGATTTCATCAAAAATTGAATTATTGGGGTTCTTTGATATTCCAAATCTAACCGTTTATTTAGATTTTGAATTTTAAGTCCCGTTTTTATACGACCGCAAAAAAATTTTTGTGGTCGTATATTGGTATGACGTTGGCGTCGTCGTCGTCGTCGTCGTCGTCCGGCGTCGTCGTCCGAATACACATTAGTTTTCGCACTCTAACTTTAGTTTAAGTGAATGGATCTCATTGAAATTTTACCATAAGGTTCAATACCACAAAAGGAAGGTGGGGATTGATTTTGGGGGTTATGGTACTAACAGTTAAGGAATTAGGGGCCAAAAGGGGCCAAAAATAAGCATTTTTGTAACTTCCAGACATAACTTGTGTGTAAGTGTATGGATCTCTCTGACATTGTACCACAAGGTTCTGACATTGTACCACAAGGTTCCATATCACAAAGGGAATGCTGGGATTGATTTTGGGGGTAATTGTCTCCAAATTTTAGGAATTAGGGGCCAAAAAGGGGCAAAAAACAAGCATTTTTCTAGTTTCATGACAATAACTTGTTTGTAAGTGTATGGATCTTTATGAAATTGTACTACAAGGTTCCATATCACAAAGGGAATACTGGGATTGATTTTTGGGGTAATTTCCTCCAAATATTAGGAATTAGGGGCCAAAAAGGGGCAAAAAACAAGCATTTTTCTAGTTTCATGACAGTAACTTGTTTGTAAGTGTATGGATCTTTATGAAATTGTACTACAAGGTTCCATATTACAAAGGGAAGGCTGGGATTGATTTTGGGGGTTTTCCCTCAAAATTTTAGTAATTAGGGGCCATAAAAGGGCAAAAAAAACATGCATTTTTCTAGTTTCAGGACAATAACTTGTGTGTAAGTGTATGGATCTTTATGAAATTGTACTGCAAGGTTCCATATCACAAAGGGAAAGCTGGAATTGAGTTTGGGGGTAATTGCCCTAAACGTTTAGGAATTTGGGGCCAAAAAGGGGCCAAAAAACAAGCATTTTTCTAGTTTCCAGACAATAACTTGTGTTCAAGTGTATGAATCTCTCTGAAATTGTACTGCAAGGTACCATACCACAAAGGGAAAGCTGGGATTGAGTTTGGGGGCGATGAATCATAAGGGGGTTCAAAAAATTGGGGGGGGGATTTTTTTTTTCCTTTTTTTTCTTTAACATTTTCCATTTTAAATTGGTTATTTCTGATTTATATATAAAAGCAAATAATAATGATATGGTTTGAATAGGCATACATGTGAACCTCCCGACGGGAGTACAATAATCCCGTTTTCAGGGGTCTCCTCCCCCCCTCCCGTTGAAAAAATCCCGTGTATGAAATTTTTCATGAATGCCCAACATAACATCTCAGGCATCTGGTGTAACTGACATTACCTGAAGTTATATTTTACCTGTAAATCAATTAACATGCATAATTATATGGCTTCACTTGTCAGCTTGGGTGTCAAACATACTGGTAAGCAACGATTTTTACCTCAGGCTAACTGCCGTTGTGTAACAAAAACTGTGTATTTATTGGGTTACTTCCCTTGATTTATCCTGTTTTAAGTTACTTTCCTTTTAATAATGAAAATTTTTAAAAGAATATAAATAAAATATAAATTGAACAAATAATCATAAAAGGATGGTTATTAAATGATTTTAAATGTCTTAGGACAAATAAAAAAATAGTAATTTGAAAATTATTTGAGGATTCTATACTTCCTTTTAAGGCTTAAATTGAAATTTATATAATAACTATGACCCTAACTTTACAGATAGAATGAATTTCTGAGTTTGCAAATAAAAACTATTTGCAAGAGAAAAAAAATAAAAATAAAAACTATTTGCAGACAGCTAAACAAATGTTCTGGTTGCAATGATTGTTTTATAGAATATGAAGTAAAAAATTTAAAGAACATACTGGAAAAAAACAATGTTAGATTGAACATGTAGAATATAAAGATGGAGAAACTTTATAAGTACAAGGGTACTATAAACATAATAAATTGGTTGGAAAGTTGAAGAAAACACTCTTTAAAAGACCATTTTTACAGCACACGGTTACATTTACAACAAAATTAATGTCGATTAAAAACCTCCTGATCTGAGTCCTAATCTCCTGACCAAAATTTCCCAATCTCCTGATCTGAGTTTCACAGTCCATCACATGTATGAATAGGTAAATTGAAAATTTTTAAGTTCTTAGACCACTTTCATTCTGTGTCAGAAACCTATGCTGTGTCAAATATTTAATTACAATCCAAATTCAGTGCTGTATCAAGCTTGAATGTTGTGTCCATACTTGCCCCAACTGTTCAGGGTTCGACCTCAGCGGTCGTATCAAGCTGCGCCCCAGCGGAGCATTTTATTTAAATTGGTCTACATTAAGGTCCAAAGGGTCCAAAATTAAACTTAGTTTGATTTTAGCAAAAATTGAATTCTTGGGGTTCTTTGATATGCTGAATCTAAACGTGTTTAGATTTTTGATTATGGGCCCAGTTTTCAAGTTTGTCCAAGTTGGGGTCCAAAATTAAACTTTGTTTGATTTTAACAAAAATTGAATATATGGGGTTCTTTGATATGCTGAATCTAACCATGTATTTTGATTTTGGACATTGGACCATAATAGGTAAATTAAAAAAATTCAAGTTCTTAGACCACATTCTTTCTGTGTCATAAACCTATGCTGTGTCAAATATTTAATAACAATCCAAATTCAGAGCTGTATCAAGCTTGAATGTTGTGTCCATACTTGCCCCAACTGTTCAGGGTTCGACCTCTGCGGTCGTATCAAGCTGCGCCCCAGCGAAGCATTTTATTAAATAAATGTTTTTAGTGCCGATGCAAAGACCCTATAAGTGAATCAATATTAACGCCAAAATATGCAATCTTTAATGACCTGAAAACAGTATCGTAACTATATCCCTTCTTAATAAGTCTATTTAAAGGTTTTTTTAGCTTCAGAGGTGAATACTGACATTTTTGTGCTTTATAAAGAATATTTCCATAAAAAATTGGATGTGAAATACCTGAACGTATAAGAAGTCTGCATGTTGAGCTATATTTACGAATGATGTCCTTATACCGATGATTAAGTACATCAATTGGTGCATCAAATGTAGCAGGTTACTGCCATAATAAGTAGAAAATGCCATTCTGCCCTATTTTGCTTTAAATCCACTCTAAACAAAAAGAGGAATAATTTTATCCAGTCTATAGAAGGATTATTCCTCTATACAGGTTTAAACACCAGTGGCGGATCGGGGGGTCCGGGGTTGAAACCCCCACCTTTTTTTTGACGATCAATGCATTTGAATGGGGACATATAGTTGGAACCCCCCCTTTATCCTGGGTTAGGAACCCCCCTTTTATGAATGGCTGGATCCGCCCCTGAACACCATATAGAGGGTTTGTTCCCAACCTGTAAAATGGGGTACCCCATAACTTCCCTCGGACAGGGGTTTATGATTACCACTCCCTATCCCCAACTCCCATTTCTCTTCCCTTTTACTCTAAAAATTTTCTCCCCTAACTTCTACTTCCATCCTCCTTGCTCCCAGACAAAAAAGTTGCAAAATATTTTTCCCAGATTATTCATCCCCCCTCTTTTCAAATTCTTGTCCTTTCAATTAACCAAAAATCATGTTCGCTCCAATTCACGTTGATCCCTTTTACATTCCCACCCTGCGTCTGTTTGTACCCTTCCTTTTATCTAAATCATGCTTTTGTTAGTATAGTTCTATAACAATAAAATAAAGATATATTAAGTTTATTTTTATTGGTTAAAAATAAAGTGACTCACATGAGATCAAAGGTTTTTTTTTCTATTTATAATCTTCATAAGATTTACCTCTACCAAATTGGTTACTTTTATTTTCACTTCAGACCAGGCTAACGGTAACGGACCTGCACATGATACCCCCTTTTCTCGCTTCCTTGTCCCTCATTCCCATGTTCCCTTACCCCTGTCAACCCGCTCAAGGGGTTCGATTGTTTCGTTTGTTTTCTTGAGAATATAAATGGCCTGATTTGTAAATTATAACCACTAGAGTACGAGGCAATACATTTTATTGATGAATTTGTCATGAACACTATTTGTTTCCAATTAAACACCCCCCCCTGTCTCTCTTTTGTATAAGAAATTTCATAACGTCAAGTATCAGGTTTAAACATAATACACGTAGGGCTTATCTTGTTTACCAAATAACACATACATTTGAGTTGAAAAATTCATTATTATTTTGTGCTTAGTATTTTTAACAGAAAAATTTGTATATCCCCTATTCCAAACAGGTTACAAGACACCTCAGCATAATTTGGTTGACGAGGAGTACAAATGAAGCTCAGCTGCATTTTAGAATTTTTAGGCATAGAAATAACTTGTCCCTGGCATCGAAACAGCATGCCCCGAGAAGTCTGTATTCAACATATATATAAAAACAAAATCACTATTTACACTTGCTGTGCATGTATTTTATTTTGTTTGCTCATTATTGTTGCCACAAATTCTTCATTTTTTTACGCCGTAGTGGAGTGGGCATTAAGTTTTACCCTTGTCTGTCTGTACGTATGTCCCAAAATTGGTGTCCGTTCTCTAACTTCAGTTTGCCTCAACCAAATGTTATGAAACTTATACACAATGCTTATTACCAACAAACACAGCTCAAGTTTGAATTTTTTTTTGGTGGTGTCACTTTTACTGTTCTAGAGTTATGCCCCTTTACAAATGGAAACATTGCTGATTTTTTTGTTTCCGTTCTCTATCTTTAGTTTGCCTCATCCAAATGTTATGAAACTTATACACATTACTTATTACAACAAAATTCAGATCAAGTAAAACTTTGGGTAGTGTCACTCTTACCGTTCTTTAGTTAAGCTCCTTTATAACTTTATATGCAAGTGGGGCATCATCTGTGTCCCATTGACACATTCCCCATTTATTTAAAATATGAACTACAGTATGCTTTTAAATGTCAATCATGGTTGATTTTCTGACAGAATTACTCTGACATTTAATTTCAGGCTTCAAGTACATGTAAGAGGAAGGAGTGATTTGTTGTGAAAGATCCTGGAATGTTCAACTTTACTTGGAAACTATTGGCAAAGTACTGACAGAATTTACACGAGAAGCCAGTATCATCTTGTCTTGCAATTGGGAACTATATGTAAAATGCAGAAACTTAAGAACAACATTAGAAGCCAAGATCAACAATACTTGGAACTACATGTATAATCAAAGTACTGTCAGAATCCATATGAGAGAACCCAAGATCATCTACACTTGGTGTCTATATGCAAAGTGTTGTCAGAAACCACTTAAGAAGCCAAGATCAACTATAATTTTGAACTATATGCTTTAGTGCTGTCAAAATCCATAAAAAAAAATCCAAGATCAAAAGGACCTACTTTACCTACCTGTCCCAATGATGAATACAGATTACTGAGTCTTATAAAAAACACTGATGAAGAATATTGATATAAAAATAATGAAAATATAGAGCTGATCAGCTAATGATTATACATGTACATGATGTATACATGTCAACAATTACTAGTATATTGAAATTTACAATGCTAATAAATGTTTTATAAATTTGATCTCATAGACATTTTAGGAATAAAAATCAAAAATGTTTCAAAAAATGAATTTTAATAGAGCTGAATTAATTTTTTTTTTTGCTGTCTGTAGTGAATTTTGCTGCAAACACAATTCATGATATTCAAACTGCTATATATGCAGTTGTCTATAATACAGAAGGTAGCTATGAGATTTGTAAATTTTGGAAATCATAATACCAAGTGGCAGTTGTGGTAAATGCACATGCCTTTGCCTCATCTTTTACCTCACCAACCCCTGACCTAAATGGCCACTTGAATTATTTTACATCATTTGTCATTTGTTTTCCATCCATATGCTATTCAGTTTCTATTTCAAACGTTATATTTTCTGGATAAAAGCAGAAATAAAATACAGTTTTGTTCAATGAGACAGCAACCAAACAAAACAACCAAAAGAATTATATATTGTCTGGGAAAACTTGTGTCTCACTATTAACTGACAACATTTTTACCTACTGTAAATTCAGAAATTATTGCGTTCATTTATTATTGCGATTTTTGTCGAATGGACTAAATTGCGAGTTTAATTATTGCGATTACAAAAAAAATCTGCATAAAGATCTATAATTCAGTTATCAGAATGCAAGTTCTTATTATTGCAATATTCACCCTGTCGCATTATTTGCATTAATAATAACCTCACAATAATTTCTAAATTTACAGTATCACAATGATCCAGATTAATATTGTTTTGTAAATTTAGATATGCACTCAAATTAATACAGATTGCTACAAAGATCTCAAGCATATTTCATGGATCAGTGATCAAAGTTAAAGTTACCTGATGAGGGTTGTTTATCAGATACCGTTAGCAATAGGTCATTTGTCAATGTCATGTTTTTGTGTTTTTGTCTGTTTTTTCTAATACTAAAAGTACATGTAGTAGATAAACTATATGTATGCAATGATTCACAAATGTAAGGAGTACATGTCTGTCTGGCAGTTGTCATTGACCACATTTGCATGGTTCATTGGTCAATGGTAAGTCCTCTTTTAACATGCTACATTGTGTAATCAATGGGTTATTATATTTGGTGTATGGTATGATTATTAAATGTATATATTGAAATATTAAGTAAAAAGATGTGATATGATTGTATAAATGAGACACTCCACAAGAGACCACATGACACAGAAATAAACAACTAAATGTCACCATACGACCTTCGACAATGAGTAAAACCTATACTGCATAGTTGGGTATAAAAGCCCTCCAAATGCATATGACAAATGTACAATTTAAAACAA